GCACTCGTACGGCGGTCGTTTCTTTTCACTAAGCGAATTCGCCCAAAATGCGATTTTTTTTTTCAATACACGAATGGGCAGTTCAATAATGAACTATACAAAGATCTTTATTTTAATAACAGTGGGATGCCCACACAAGACAAACAAAAACGTACTGTAAATCCTTACATTCATTCCTTTATTTCGGAAATGTATTTATATAGAATAACTTTAAAACATACAATTAAAAGAGACCAATAAATAGAAGATAAAATACATGATTGCCAATAGAAATACAGACGTCTTAATTTTCTTCTTAAAATTTGACGAAAAACTAGTTAATGAAGATATATTTTTGAATAGAGATTGAATACAGCAACAGCAACAGCATTCTTCGTACAATACAGAACATATAGCAGACAGTACTGGGGAAATGTCAAAGCAACAGCCTAATGTGAATTACATGGGTTTTAAATGTTATGATTTTTTAAAATACATTAAATGACGCCCACATTATTATAATTTTTATTTACTTTCATAATTCTGTGTAATCTTTTCAATAATACCAATAACACACACAACTGTAATAATTAGAAAAGGTTACAAACATTTTTTTGTTGTTCTTCTTTTTATGGAACGTTTTAAACTTTATTTAATAATTTGTTATATATAATATAATAAAAATGAAGCAATGTGTTACAAGAAATAAATTACAGGGGAACAAAGTATTATCTTAATTAAAATATACTACGATTAGGTCGTCAAATCACGATACAAAATCAGGAACTCAATTGTGCCAAAAAGGACATTCAAATACATCACGAAACGGTACAAACACCTTTCGCGGCCCCCACCGCTCCTACCACCAGTCTCGGGGCCTTCGGCCCCTTTGTTTTGCCAATGATACTTTGTAGTTCCACATTTACAATCTTATTATTATTATTATTATTATTGTTATTATTATTATCATTATTATTATTATTAATGATAATAATAATAATAATAATAATAATAATAATAATAATAATAATAATAATAATAAAAATAATAATAATTGTTATATATAATATAATAAAAATGAAGCAATGTGTTACAAGAAATAAATTACAGGGGAACAAAGTATTATCTTAATTAAAATATACTACGATTAGGTCGTTATTATTATTATTATTATCAATATCATTAGTATTATAGAAGTTCCACAAGAAATTAGAAAAAGAGGAAAGAGGGACCTTCGAAATAATTGTCTCCATATCTTCGCTAATTAATCACCGTAATTTAGCTTACACTTATGCATGTATGGAGCACTTAAAATGTACAATAATCATTTCACTACCGACAAACCCCGAACGTTATTCTTCATGCATTACATAAATAGTTTCATCTTGATGTACTCCAGCATCACTGGCGCATGGTAACAACCAACTGACTGCGCAGACCATTTCCGATCACACATTACTCTTCATAAAGCAGCACCCCCTAGTTCCGTCACCTCTGGGTATCGTCAATAATCAATAGGCCTATTACAGGATGGCTCCCATTGTTACGTTTTGAAACGCTCACAGTTATGTTGCTTTCTCTTTTTATTGATTAATGATGATGTTTGATTTTGCAAATGGGCCGTTTTTCGATTTAACATATAGAAAATATGAAGGCTAGAGTGTGGTCGTTACTGCTGCTTAATTTGATATTTTCGACTAAGTTTCTAAAAATGTACAAGACTGACTACAATTTTTACATCATCGATAGTATTGAGAGGTAAGAACGCACTTCCCTTTTTTCTCTCTCTTTCCTCTCTTTTCATCTCTGCACTATTTTTCTCCATCTTTTTATATTTCGTGGGGACTGACGGGGTGATGTGAATAGAGAGACATGTGGACGCTTGGTAAAAATATCCACCATTCTCCAATCAAAACAAGTCACGATTTTGTCACTAACCAAAAACAATTTTTTTTCTCTCCAAACGTCATAGTTGTTGAGCATCGAGTTTCCTTTAAAAAAAAGTTGGCTGTTTATGCTTTTGGTAAGCCTGTTTCCATAAAAGCGCTTCACGCTACCACCGACAACTTTTGTCCATTCTGATTGGTAGGCGAATAGGAAGACCCAGAAACAAATATGCAGTGTCTTGCACTAAAAACATTATAGTGATAGTAAATTGTGATTTTAAGAAAAAAAAAACGGGCCAAAAACGGTGCCGAAAAGGACATTACAATACATCACGAAACGCTACCACCACCGCTTCTAGCGCTTGTCTCGGGGCCTTCGGCCCCTTCGTTTTGCTACTGATACTTTGTAGTTCCGCATTTACAATTTTTGTAAAGTAAAGTATACAATTTTTTAAAAATCTTTAAAAAATATGGAGATTTACCAAGAAATCTGGAGGTTTCTAGAATTAACCAAAATATGATGCAATTTATACTAAAAAAAAGACACGTCAAGACAAATCATAGTGGTATAAAATCGATAGTACAAAATTACTGCAAAACAACTTATTATTAAATTGCTGCTTGTCTATCGTGGCAAATACATTGAATAATAACGATCTAATCAATCATTTATGTACAAATCCGAGTATTTTGCGGAGGGAACATGTAAAATCAGGTGAAAATTCGATCGGGAGAACTGGAGATTTGTTTATATATCGGGTGACACCCGACAGGATCGGGTGAGTTGGCAAGTCTGCAAGAGACATCGAGTCCATTTCCAGACAATTGGATCCAAAGTATGTGGCGGGGGGGGGGATGGGGCCCCTACCCCCATCGGACAAGTCAAAGCGCCCCACCTCCCCAGACGAGCTCGTCGGGCAGTCGACCAAAAAGAAACAAATTAAATATAGGCCAACACCAAGCCAAACTATGTCTTTGACACTGCTAATTGCCATTTCCGGCCATCCAGAGCTCCCTATTTTTAGAAAAATATCATCTCCCAAACCCTCCCCTTCCTCAGACATACATTGGATTGTTTTCCTTTCTTTCTGTGATTACGACCTAATCCCTACCGATAAAAATACTAACTAAGCCTAAGTATTATTTCACTTTGTGTAGACCCCATAAATTGATAATATTCAAGGGATCCTAATTTTGGAAAGAAAATTACACAGGGACAACTTAAATGTTTTTCTTACAATTGGTTTACCATGGAATTGCTGTGTTCTGCTATGCTGTGTGATAAAAGACAGGGCCTACGTCGAGGACGAAAGACGAACTATAGCTGAAATCATGCATGACGTCAACAACGAAGCCAAGCCCCTCGGCTGGACTCGTTGTATTTAGCAACTACCAGTACTGTATTACTTATACAAGTTTAACAGTGCTACCAATAATATTGACTAACACGATTTTTAGGGACTGATTACTAACATAAATTGTCAATCAAATTAAATTACGTAGATTAGTTTCTTTATTCATATAATATCCTAAAAACAAAAGCAATATTAATCTAAGTAATTTCTAATTCAAATAAAATAATGGTACACACAATGAACATAAAAACATAAGGCCCTATAAAAAATTATTAGTTTATCCCATCTCTAGGCTGGAAAATGTATCTGAAAGAACTTTTTGGAATGGTTTTTCATGGTCCAAGGAAGAAATAAATAAGAGATGACGATCCGGAATAGGGTGTGAACCAGATATCTCAAAAACTGATCAACTGATCTAATGAAACTTTCTGAAAGATTTTTAAACAAAGTTACACGAATAAAATTAAATGTTGGAGAATATCCATATTTATGTGCGGATTTAGGGGTCATTTAAAATGGAAGGAAGAAACGATTAAATTTTGATGACAATCCGGAGTAGAAGGTGGATATGAGGTCCATTAAAAGGGAGATTCCTATACTTTGGTATATAAAAAGAAATGATAGATGTAGCCTATCTGAAAACCTTTCTTGAATAGTTCGTCATAGCAAAAGAAAAAGTAGCCTATTTAATTCGGGTGATGTTCCGGAGTAGGGTGTGCATGAGAGACCATTAAAATGGAACGTCCCAGATATAAATACCTTAAAAACTGATCAATATAAAGAAATTTTCTAGAATGGTACATTGTTTGAAGGCTCTCAATGGCTCCTGGATCGCACTTATTCTAAAAGATTCAGTTGTCTAGTTTGATATGACGTCGCTTTATAAGCGAGAGGCCCCGGTTCGAAAGTCTATATTTTGCTTTCATTTTTTTAATGAAAATGCGTGGGAATTTTATACAGAGGGAATTATGATGCGGGCGGAGGACGTACACTCTCGGAATGTGCTCTAGTTATTATTATTATTATTATTATTATTATTATTATTATTATTATTATTATTATTATTATTATTATTATTATTATTAATATTATTATTATTAATATTATTATTATTATTATTATTATTATTATTATTATTATTATTATTATTATAATTATTATTTTTATTATTATTATTAAATATGTGTATAAACACTAAATAAACGTTGTAACGTTAACGATACTTTCTGACATTACAAGATTAGGAAATGTTATAATAATATTTTGTCACCGTGCTGGATAGCATAGCCTAAATTAGACAGTAAAAACCTGACACATTAGACTAAAGCCCATTTTAGAGCTCCAGAAAAAAAATCTGATTTCCTGTTGTTTTTTTCTTCTTCGGTTCAAATGACTTAAAATGTTGTTATTTTAGATGTAACTCAGTATAAAGAACAGATAAATAAATAAAAATAAATAAATTTTGATGAGTCTATCTATGGGTTTGTTGTGAATTATAGTGTCTGCTATGAGGGGTTGAATTGGACTGAACTGACCATTTGGCACGAATGAAGGATGTATGAATGTAATCGTGATCCCTATCGCATGTCACTCCTTTTTATTTATTTAGTTTTTATTCCGGTTTTCATACATTTTTTTTATATTAGGAGATGGCCCAGGGTGTAATAATCAATAAACATCGCAATATTGAGGCAGTGCTACCGACGACAGTGAATATTAACATTAAATCATTGTAGCGCCCTCTGTAGTTTGAACATTCACAATCAAAATAGTTATTGCTGCTGTGCGTGTGCGATCGACGGACGTTCAAGAAACCACGGTGGTGTGTGCAGTGCATAACCTTCAATACGTCGTGTGTGCTGGTGCTATGCTGAGTTGTTTCGTGTGTTACACGTATACTAAAATACTTTCATGTTGACATGAAAGTTGCTCTAGTTTTACTTGTTTCTGCTGATGAGTATGGCGGTGAACGGTGCTCGTCATCGTTCTTCGATTCGCCTCTGTTTTCGATACCGTTTCATTCTCTACACTGCGCTGTTGATTCTGTTCCTACAATTCATTTTCTACCTAAAGTTTTCAACTTTGGATGGCATGGACTTTGAAAGTGACAGCAATAACAACAAGCGTTTCAATCGAGAGGCAGTGCATGGGGGAAACCCACATGAGTTACCTGAAACCGATAGTAATAATAAGAATGTGTATTCTGCTAGGCATAAGCCAAGGCCTAGGCCTGAATTTCGTAAACCAGCATCCAGTAAAGTAAGTACAATAAATTTAAGCGTGCCTAGGCCTAGGCTACTCGAGGCCTCCTAGGCCTAGGCCTAGCCTTCTTTCTACCGTACGCCTTGGAATGTGTACCTAGGCCTAGACCTATAGGCCTACCTGTCCTATATGCTAGGCCTAGGCTACTCTAAGCTAGGCCTAGGCCTTTTGAATTTCTCGATTAGGCCCAGGCCTAGACCCAACAAGCCATTATTTGGTAAAATGATGTGATTTTTATTAATTATGAAGTAATGTAATAATGTAGCCTAGACATAGGCCCTAGGCCTAGTTGGATTTTTTTCTATCACCGTGGCTAGGGGGATACGAAATGTTACAATCTCTACTTCTGTTTGCTAAAACTTAAAAGGTATGGTAATTATTATGGCATTACGTCACTATCAGAGTATCATCACCCAATGAAGTGCTGGTCTTAAGTGCTTGAGGTGTGGACTAGGCCTAGCTCATACAGTAGTAACATGCTTCTCCCCTAACTGTATCTTCTTGTCCGTGTTACCTGGTAAACCGTTACCACCTAGTAACTCTCGAATGGACCAATACACCCCCGACTCGTCCCGAATACCGCATACTCCTACCCTATCCAAACTATGCATTCTGGAGAAGGGATGTTACTCTGCTAAGGTCCTAATGACTCGCATACCTCAAAACAAAAAATTAGACCCATTGTAAATTCTTACAGAAGATGTTAGAAATGAATTCCTGCATCTACTCGTTCTACATTGAATTGCTCGAAGCCAGATCTAAGAAGGGTATAGTGTGAGTTAAGTGGGTTACTACTAGTGACAGTGTTGCTCATAATCATTTTTATTATTTTAACAGTTGTTTTATATTTCGTCCATGGTTGATATATAGTTGTCATATATTCCCAGTTATTTTTGCTGGCATGCCAAATGATTCTACAGATATTACTTGAATAATTTTTTCTGGAATTCATACTACAATGCAATTAAATGTTATGATACTCTCAATAATACTTTGTAAAATAATTGTAAGATAGCTTTGTCAACATGAAACGTCATCAACTTAATTAAGCTTTGTCTACACTATAAAATTTCATCAAAAAAGCGTCGCATAAAATTTGATGGAACATCGAGTTAAACACTTTAAACTTTTTTTGATACAGTTTGATGATATGTGAAAGCTTTACGGAGGAAGTATGTTTGTTGTTGGCCCTTTGCGTGTAGGATTCTAACAGTTATTTTTCCAAGTAGGCTTGTCATCAAATATTGTACCTAAATATGCGAGTGAACGTTTTCCACCAGTTTAGCCTTTAGTAGCACCTTACCAACGCGAACGCACTGGGTGCATTCTCTCTTTATGCTTATATATTTTATTGCTTTGTGATTATTATTATTATTATTATTATTATTATTATTTATTAATTACTGTATATTGCAATTATCATTTATGTTGAGCTTATTAATATAATTTTGTATAAAAGCCATCATGTACTTTGTAGCAAGGTTAGATTGCAGTACAAGTTACAAGCAAAAGCGTTACATTAAAAGAGAAACAGCTAACATCACGCTGAAAAAAGAATTGTACAGTAAATATAAAAAATCCAAGAAATTTACTTAAAAAATACAATAAGTAAAAAATCTCAAAACCACAATACTGTACCAAGTATTGAATGAGAATCAAAACAATGTAAATTCATGAATTAGCATAATAATATCAAAAAGACAAATCATGGACAATCAGATTTGCACTTGATGTTAAAAGTAAAATTTATATCCTTATTTATCCTTCATTAATTTGAAAAAAATTTAAATTACTCTACAAGAAATAATCCCAAGTTCTACTCGAAAAATATGTTTAGAAAAATTGAGATAATAAGGATGATTATTATGAATATGGCAGAAAAAATGACAAAAATAACAATGTGAAATGAGGGGACTGAAGTAATCACTTGTAGTGTAAACTAGAGAGTTAAAGCAGGTTTACAAAATATGGAATTGGGCTCTTTTTATACCTATTTGTTCTACGTCTGATTTGTGATATGTGATTGTCGTTACAAAGCGTGTATTCCCTCGGTTGACTGGCGGCCCAAAACCAGTTACAGAATTCTTTGTACAACTTCTGGCGGTGATCAGAAAGGGACTCGATGTTACATCTGAGACAAGCTTAGTAGTAAATTTTAAAGCTTATCTTCATTAATACATTGTTACTTTTGTTATCTTTTTGGACGTACCTTCACAAGAGGAAGTGTACCACTGTTATAAAAGTGAAGATTCCAAATAAATTATTATTATTATTATTACCTAACTTTTCTTTGTAATCTTTATAATATTAACAAAATATAACTTGTTTTAATAACAAATTATTGTTAGTGTTATTTACTAGGACCATTGTTGTAGGCCTACGTTGTAAAGTATAAAAAAGCAACAATAACAATTCTCTATCTACTTGGACACTGATCTACTCGACCCACCACATACTGTGCCTGAGGTTTGCTAGATGTTTTATACCCCGACAAGTATACAGCATTGATTAAGGAAGTATGAGTGGGTGACCAAAATTGACTATATTTATGATCGTTGCTGAAGCTTTGTAATTTACTGTTTTTAAAAGCTAATCAAACAGACATTTTCAGCTAAATATCAAATTTGCTGTATATGAAGGTATTGAATAATAAAAAAATAAAATTCTCTAAAAAGTAATTCAAAAAATATTTCAAGGAACTTCAAACTACTTTAAGTTGTGAACACTGTGGTGTCTCTTCATTCACTCTCTCTGTATTTATAAACAAAAAAAAAACAAACAAAATGAAAGACCAAGCTAGCATCTGTGGGGTTACGCTGTAACCGCCAACTGGAGATCTGTGTTTATGTACTCCAATTAGCATCAGTCTTAATCTTTAAAAAATGTGAAAACATGAATGGAGATGAACTCTATGTGTGCCATCATCTATAAAAGCAGCCTAGTTTTTTAATCAATCACCAAGTCAGAATCTACTACTACAGTAACTGACATGTTTATTAGAGAGCAATGTGACATTTAAACCAAGATTTACTATAATAGAGGAGGGTTAAGAGAAAGGATTGATATAGGATTACTGAACATGACCATAGTTAAATGGTACATTAAATGTTAAACCATTGGATTATTACAAGGAGATGAGGACTGAATAGTAGAATTAGTAGACAAAGTGTTACCATTATAAATACTGCTCCTAAACCAAGATGGACCATTCAAACTGTACAATTTTGCTATAATGTATTTTATTTTCACTAAGGCAAGAGTTTTTTTGTATTTCTTTATTTTGGCAAACTTTATTTTTGAAAGATCTTATTGGAGAGTGAAAAAAAATAATAATATTTCTACAACTGACTGTTTTATGGGACATTATCGACAATGTCAAAGTGGTAGGGCTTTTAACGGGTCAGTCCATTTCTTGCTGTTATAACCACATTAAGTATGCTTAAATCATTATATAATAATACCATTTTACTTTATGGAGATTAGCAGTGGAATGATTGTGCTTTCATAATATGGATTTTAGGATAGATTTTTACAGTTGAACTTGTCTAATTCGAATCCAAAATGGTATTGAAAAATTGTTTGACTTTAGATAAAATTTGATCGTTTGTTAATGGAAGGCACAACAATTTGGCATGTAAAATAAGATCGACTTATGTATTATTTGAGTTAAACAAAGTTGACTTAGGCAACTTTTACTGAATATTGACAATAATGAAGTACAGTAATTGTGTTGCATAAGTTATACCCGATTCACACGTGAAGTTAAATTTAACAAAAAGTAACAAATTGTAACTGAGCGATCTCCCGAGTTATTCCTACCGAGATAAAAAGCATTCATACGCGTCTGTAAGGTAATGCCAAGGTCGTGTAAAAGTTATTCAGTGTTTATTCAATGAATCATTTTTTCCCCTACTGCGATATAGGTCTAGCCTAGGCCTAGTTGAGAACCCCTGTCACAGATGGACTGTTGAACTGACCATCACAGTAAACATTCGAAGCAATCAATACCCTTAACAACTGCTGTACTACTACTACTAAACTAGGCATAGCTTCCAACGTGTCTGTTGACTCTTGATAATACTAGTAATAGTACTAACACCATCCTGACGTTGATTTTATGTATATCTTCTTCTTCTACCATTACTAATTAACATCAATAACAAGGGTAATTCATTCATCATTGAGAAAAACTAGGCCTATCTATTTCTAGTGGATCAGAATCGTCTGCAGAAGGAAGAAAATTCAAAGAACCCCGTGAAACACAGTAGATTGTTGTTGTGTTGAAATCCCTGCGCATGCCCAGATCCATCCATGCTACATCTCGGAAGCTTTACCAGCCTCAGCGAGGCTGGTAAAGATTGATTACCGAGACGTTCCGAGATTTTACAAGGATATTACACGGAGGTACTTTCACACGTGCCGTAAAATGTTACTTTTGGTTACATTTTGTTACATTTGGTAAGATTTTTGTACGTGTGAATCGGGTATTAGAAAAGTAGCACATTGTTTTTGTCTTTTTTCACTATGCATAAGTAAATATCAACATTTAAGCATGCCAAAATTTTAACTTTTATGTAAATTGCTCTAATAATGAGGATAATTATCTGTAAGTCTTCAGAATTAGTAGGTACTTTGTCATGGTCATACTGCACAAAATCATAGTTTTAGAAAATATTTATTTTATTGTATTCAAATTCAGCTCACAACATGAATAAACAATGGAGGAAATCAGATAGAGGAAATCAGGTGAAAGTACAGTACACCTATACTCATTCATTGGTTATTTTTTAAGTAAAGGAAATGTTAGTTTTATTTTAATTAGTGACTATATATTCTGCAGATATTTGGAAATTAATATATTATATAATAAACATAAAAAGGACTAGGAATAGATTAACTACACTTCATTTTTATTTTAATTAGTGACTGTATATTCTGCAGATATTAGGAAATTAATATATTATATAATAAACATAAAAAGGACTAGGAATAGATTA